GTATAGATATGCTTGTTAGTAGGTGCTATTGAGTTGAGTATGACTCATAGAGATCCTATGGATAACAGATCCAAACCCTGTCCTATCCTCACACTTGAGCCATTGCCATCAATATGTCAATGCATCTGGCCGAGGGTCTTCTTCTCCTTTTCATCCCTCCACCTTCCCAAGTGTGATGTCCCTCTCAAAGGCATAGCTTTTCTTAGAAACAGTCCCAAAGTCTGTGAGACAAAGCTTTATCATCTTTGTCTCCAAGAAGCACTCTAGTTGGATAATGACTAAGAATGACAAAAGAAAAATTTAAGCCTTTGAACCATGGTGTTGGAGAAAAGTATTGAATATCCTATTGATTGCCAAAAAACAAATATGTCGTGGAGAAAGTGCTTCAAAAACTTTCTTCAAGAGGGTGAAAAGAAAACCTACTGACTGCGGAAAAGCCTTTGGCAGTGCTAACTCGCACAAGGCACTCATGACAAAACTTTACAGAATATTACAAGGCCTTTACAAGTAAAAGACTGATAACTCAATTATAAAATGGGCTAAAGACATGGGAAGACTTTTCACAGAAGAAGACATTCAGATGGCAACAGACATATGAAGAAATGAGTATCAGTTTCATTTTACATAAGGTCACTGTAAGCTAACTCAATGGAAATGAATGATAAGAAAACAGAAGGTACCTACATTCTAGAACAAAAACAACAAAAAGCTTTGGGTGCTCTGTTGCTAGTGGGATTTCATGGCAGACAATATTTTACACATGTTGGTAGTGAAGTAAATGAAATGTGTGTAATTCTACTGGGAGAAGACTCTTGGAAGATTGAATCTGGTTTTCCTCAGACTTCACTCACATGCCTTTTCCATTTGCTGATTGTGTCTGGTATCTCAATTCTGTAATAAATTACAGTCATGAGTGAAAATAATGTTGAGCTCCATGAGTTCTTGTTGCAAATTTTCAAAACTAGAAGGTGTGCAGCACTGTGGATGGAGGGAAGGGAGGAAGCAAATGGAAAGGATCTGGGCGAAAATACAGGGCAACGATGGGCAAGGTCTAATGGTGACTGATTTTATAAAATATAGTGTATGAGAATAATAGTATGAAGCACAATGTAAATAGGGAATCATAAGAAACACAATGTATATCAATTTGGAGGCAAAGAAATTAAAAAATAATGTAAAATAGAATGTGTATGAATGATTGTATGAAACACAATATAAATTAAAGATTGTATAAAACATAATATATAAAAAGCCCCCAAAGCCCCCCATAATGTATATACATGAAACATAATGTAAAGAAATTATTATATGAAAACTAAGAAAAAGATTTTAGAAAAGAATACTAGAAGATGTTTTGTTAACTCTAATAAAAGGAATTAGGCAAACAAGTCCACAATAATTTCTACATTTTGAATGTAGTCAGTACTCTGTATTCTAGGCCATAAACTTCTCAAAACTATTAATAAACTTCACTTCCTGAAAATGGTTAGAAGAACTGAGCCAAAAGAAATATGTGGGTTTTATGCTGGTTTCAGAGAGTCTGGCAGTGTCCAGATTTGCATCCAAACTCCACGGGGTTAAGGTAAACTACTTAATTTGTCTACATCTCTCAGTTTCTTCATTTGTATTAACAGTGATTACAACAGCACTCACCTCAAAGAGTTGTTAAGATGAAGTCCAGTGGAAAAGGACAGCCCTGTGACTGGTACATGGTGATTGAGAAAGGGTGAACTTAATTTTTTTCAGGTGGCACCACTAACATATTACTAATGTTCCATTATTTGCCCTTTTCTTTCTCTTATTTCAGTCTATATCCCTGTTTATTATCCCCTTCTCATCCTTTCTTCTCTTATTCAAAGCTTCTTCATATCCAAACAAACATTCCTTAAGAATATCTCCTTAAGTGCTAAATGGAAGCATTGTGCAGGCATGTTTTCTTTGAAGACTTGATAAAAATGGGGCTCAATAGAAATGTATTGTCATCAATACCAGATTTATACTTAACCTGAAAGGAATTCTAGTAAAGTTGCAAGGAGGGTGTAATGTTGTGCTGCTAACCACAAGATCGGGGTTTTTTTGTTTTTTATTAATACTTTAATGAAAGTTTACAGAAAACATGGTTTTTCATTCATTCATTGTTGCATATTTTCCTCCTTATACCCCTATCCCCAATTCACTTTTCTTTTTAAAAACATTTTTTCATTGTTGCACAATTTCTTCTATCCCCTTACTCCCCAATCCAATTTGGTGTGCATCTCTTATTCTGGACTGTTGTCATGCAAATAATACCTAATCTTATGTACTCCTTTTAAACAGTTCTTTCCCTCATCATTTCAATGCAGTGTTCATTTCTTTTCCCTTTTTCTTGGTTCCCCCCTCCCCCCCAAGAAAACAGAACTGCTATTCACAATAACAAAGAGATAGAAGCAACTCTAGTGTCTACCACCAAATGAGTGGAGAGAGAAGCTGTGTTATATTCACACAATAGAATACTATGCTGCATTGAAAAAACAAGAAACTCATAAAATATACAAAATGGGTGGCCCTGCAGGACATTCTATTGAGTGAAATACCTCAGTCACAAAAGATCAGTTGTTTGACATCTGCTCCATGGAAGAAAGGTGAGCAGTCTCCTCTTGATAAATTTCGTAGCCTCAGTCAAGGCTATGGACGGTCACTATGAGCCCGAATTCTCTAGGCAGCAACAAGAGGCATGCATAATCTCATAGGCCCCAAGCAAGGAATTCTATTGTTTTTCAATAATAGTAAGTGATCATCATGTCCATAATTATGTATAATGCAGGTTTTGCAACTTTGTAAGTCTATGATGAAAATAAATGAAAAAATTAGAATTAGAAACACAATAACACAAATTAGCAAAGCAATCTTTTGCCAAATCCTTTGTTCAATATTTGGTTGGAATATTTGTTCCTTGAAACCCTAGACTTCGAGGGAGGGAAGTGGTTTTCTTTTTCCAGTGGTATATTTAAAACACAATTTTAGTGAATATTACAACATCTGCTTGAAATTTGCAGCTTCTCTGGTGAACTAAGTATTGAGAGCATGTTCCTATTGTTGTTGCTATTGTTGTTGTGTACTGTGGAGTCAGAATCAATTCAGAGCTGACCCTCGGGGGGGGTTTCTGGAGGCAATTTAGTTGCACAGGAGGCGGTTGCCCATGTTTCTCCTGCAGGGCAGCTGTTGGATTCGAACCATGTACTCTTGTGATAGCAGCACAGTTGCTTACCAGTAGGCCACTGTAGCTATTGAAAATGTTATCACAGAATTGAGGACCATTTATGATTTAAAAGTTAACGCCAGTATTGCTGAAGCAGAATATCCTTGGGGGAGCAAAGGAATCTTGGGAAATCCCTAACAACACACAGCCTCCCTGGTAATCATAAAGTAACAATTTTGCTATTAGATAAAGGAGCTCTTATATCCATACTGCAGAAGGCAGGAAGAGAACTTGTAAAGAGACACAATGCTTAACCTGGGCATAGCATGTATACAAGATGGAGCACAGGACTAAGGAAAGAAATTGATAAGCTAAACGTTCATACTACTTGAGCTAATAAATCTAATATTTGAAACCAAAATGACAGAAAGAAAAAGAAAACTAGAAGACGAAAAGATTGATTTCTATGAATATTTTGGGACACCACTAAGTCTTTTCCCCCTCCTTCATCTCCTCATCTTTTGAGGTGGGATTTTTACATCAGTCATCTGGGGCAAATATTTTCTTATCCCTTATTAAAGATTAATGAAGTCCCTCTGGTAATGTGCTTTACTCTCCACTAAAACGAAGCCAAACTGGCACATATTTCGTGAGCTTGTTCTGTTCTCAGTAGGCATGGAAAAGAGCCAATCACCACATTTCTCATTAAAACTTTTAAGCAAAGCTAAACTCCATTATATGCAGTAATGGGGCGATGAAAAACTCTCTAACACTAACATCCATAAAAATCATCAAAGATTGAATAATCAGCGCCTTGCATCTTTTGCCAACAAATCCTCTTATCAGGCCCACTGAATCATTGCAAAATTAATTAACTTCAAGTTCTGGCTTTTATTTTTCTCAACTCACTTCTGCTTGAAGTTTTAATTAGAAGGAAAGTGTGTAGATGATGAGCAGCAGGATTTCAAAAAGGGAAATGAAGCTTTGGAAAATAATAAACGAAATATATTAATTCACTAAAAAAGGCCCACCAAACCCCAAATATTTACTGAGCTTCGAGGACATGCCAGACCCTCATTGCCAGTCAGTAAATAAAAACGGATAAGCTCTCAGCTCATGGTGATGAATAATAAACAAATGAACTAGTAAGTAGACAAAATATCCTGTATAAACCAGTTTTTTAAAAAGAGCCTTAATGGAATTGTGCTTTAAGAGTTCTTTCAACTTATCTTTTAACCTTTAGTTCTGCTGGCTAATTCCAAGAAATCAACTTCAGCCAGAAAAACACTAAAGACACATTTTTTTTGCCAGGTGCTGTTGTGTCGATCATGACTCAGCAACCATATGAACAGCAGACCTGAATGAATCTACCATCCCTGACACATTCATCAGTGTAGCCCATTGCTCCAGCTACTGTGCCAATCCATCTGGTTAAGGATCTTCCTCTTCTTGACTGATCTTTTACCCTTCCAAGTCTGATGTCCTTTCCCAAGGACTGTTCCCTCCTAACATCATGTCCAAAGATTGTAAGATGAAGTTACACGCTAGCCTTTGAAGAGCATCCTGCCTAAACGTACTCCAAGACACATTTGCTTGTTCTTTTGGTATTCCATGTGAAGACACAGTGTTGTTGTTTACCATCAAGTCAGAACCCATAACTGACCCTCCAGTGGGTTTTCAGAGGTAGTTAATTATGGGGAGGAGACTGCCCCTCTTTTTCCTGTGGGATTGCACCACAGCTTCTCACTAGGCCCCCCAAAGCTCCTAAAGACACTCTATATGAGCATAATTCTCCATGATGAGTGAGTGGAGGGTCTATTACCTTAAGCTGATGATACAATTTCTTCAATGCATATGCTTCCTCTTCTGTTTTGGGTATAAGTCTTATTACTTGATCACTAAAAGAAAGGAAAAAAAATGGTGATATATATCTTTCAAAAAGAAAAATATTTACCATCTTTTCCTTGTCTTAAAAAAACAAATACACAAACTTGTCTCTGCATTTTAAAAAGCAAAACTCTTGACTGGCCAGCAGGTGTTTCACTCAGTTCTTATTACTCTGTGATTGTTTTGGTCTTTCCTCCACCCCCAGTCCAAAAATTAAGACAACTGTTATAATAATTATAGGTTCCCAATGGTGCAAAATACAAAGAGAGGCAAAAACAACTGCCAATGGGCAGTAGGGATAGGAAGTGTCACGAACAGCTCAGAGAAAATACCAAGAAAGTAAATTTCTGATGACAGTAGGAAAACCCATTGGCTTTATAGCTGAATGTTGAGAAAGAATGACGTTTTGCAGTCAGGAGAGTAATATAATGAACATACTCCAGACTATTTCTGGTTTAATTTTGTGTGTATGCTAAGAACACTAAGGAAGTGGAGCACGACGGTTGTGTGCTCAGTTGCTAACTGGCTAACCGAACAGCTGGTAGTTCAAAACCACCCGGCAACTCATTGGCGAGCAACAACAACAACAACAACCCTGGAATATTATTCCTCAACTGGCCATAAAAAGTTTATAGATGTGCCACCAAGTATTGATGGTTGTAAGCTTTCTAGAACAAGAAAAATTTTAAATCCATTTTTACAACCATTAAAGTTTTATAACAGTTGTCATTTTATCTGAGCACTTTATAAGTTTCTTCCTGTAAGGGTCATAGATCATGTCTGAAGTCTTGAGGTTCTGTACTATTTTCTAGAGAGTTCTCTACAGTGATGGTCCTCTGTCAAGTGCTCTGAACAAGTACTGTCATTTTCCAATGGTGCCAGTGGCCAGGTTAGGGAGCACAGATCTGCTAATTATATTTTGCATGAAGTAGTTGATTCTTTAATCTTTATTGATGAATTGGCATAAAAACGTTGTTTAAGATAATTGGCTTTTAAAAGATATATATGGCACAGTAAATAAAAAAAAATTAATAATGAGATGCCACCATTGCCACTGCCATAGTCACTGAGCTTTTGGACTTCTGTTTTTACAAGCCCATGGAATTTAATTCCTATGGGATTAAAGCCTCTTTTAAAATTTACACTCCCAAAGAAGGTGTGAGCCTGAAATATTGTTGTTTTTGGGTGCCTTTGAGTCCAAGACACCTCATAGTGACCCTATGAACAAAAGACCTGAACATTTATATAACTTTCATCATTTCTCCATGTATAGAGTTTTCAGAGGCAAGCTATTTCAGAAGTGGATACCACTCCTGCTTCCAAGCTTGTTTTAATCAGGGGGCTCCACCAAACACTGTCCACTATGGGTAACCATTATCACATTTGATACATCAGTGTCACAGTGTTTAACATCATAGCAATGCCTAGTTACCTCTTTAAAGCAAATGGACAGACCAGTGCTATACCACTTAGAAGAATGTTTACCAAAAACAATGCTTTTTTTGAATAGGAGGCAGAATACAATCAACTCACACCCAACAATGAGTCAACATCCCACCCTACTCCTCACCAGAAACAGAAAACAAACTTCTGTAGAATCCAGCTGCTCTAGAGGAATTCCAATCTGGATTCCCAGAGTTAGAGTGGGGGAGTAAAGTCCTAAATCATAATGTTCATAAGAGACACACTGGGATCAAGCTTAGAAGCACTAGTCCAAGGTATAAAGAAACTGCCAAATACAGCCTGAAATGCACAATCTAAAGAGGATAAAATTGATGCATGAGACCGTCTAAAGATTAAATCCCTGTGCACATAAAAAACATTTTCCAACAAGGTGAAAAAAAATCTACAGACTGATAATAAATATTTGGTAATACCATCTCAGACAAGAGTCTTATAACAAAAGTTTACAGAATACTCCTGGGCCTCCACAAGAAAAAGACTGATAATCCAATTACAAAATGGGCAAAAGACATGGAAAGAATTTTCACACAGGAGAATATTTGAATGGCAAACAGACACATGAAGAAATGCTCCAAATCACTGGCAATAAGAGAGATGCAAATAAAAATCACAATGAGGTATTATCTCTCTTCAGTAAGAGTCTTAAAGTTTAACAGAGCAACAACTAATAGATGTTGGAGAGGATGTGACGAGAAAAGAACTCTTATGCATTGTTGGTGGACTTGTAAAATGGCACAACCATTCTGGAAGGCAGTTTTTGCTTCCTCAAAAAGCTGAACATAGAAATTCCATATGACCCAGCTATTCCACTACTTGGAACATACCCTGAGAAATATGAGAACTGAGGCACAAACTGAGATTTGTACAGCAATTTCACAGCAGCATTATTCACCATCACAAGAACATGGAAAGAGCTCAAATGTCCAATCACAAATGAATGAATTGAGAAGTTATGGTACACTCACACGTTGGAATACTATACAGCATGCAGAAGCAACAACTCTGTAAATTATTGCCTAACTTGTACTTGACTGTACAGCATTATGCTTAGTGAACTAATTCAGTCTCACAAGGATAAATATTGTATAAGACTGTTATTGTAGAATTAGTATAAGGATTCAGGAGGGGTGAGAGAGGCTGGAAGCAGAGGGATGTGGTTATGCAGGGGGAAGGGGTGATTAATCATTGAATTTTACAATTTGATGGGCTGGGGGTGTGGGAAATTGAAAGAATTTGTTCAAATTT